AAGGGTTTTTGTTTATGTACAAAGGCCTACCTAACTTTCTTGTTACGTTTCACATGGGTATATCTTTAGTTTTACATAAAAAGTTTCCTAGAACATGTTGAACTGCTCTTCTTTTTTGTGGCATATGCTTTCAAGCAAGTCTTTCTACCTCTAGTAACAAAGTTTCTGTTAAAGATATAAAGCTATTTTATATATCAGTCTACATGTACCAAACACAATATTCATTACTGTAAGTCAAAGAAGAAAAAGGCAGTCCTTGTTTTCAACCAGTGATGTCTGAATTCTGTATATATGACTATGTTTGACCATTTCTACATGTGCCTTGAAGCTATTGCCTTGGATAAAGGTTGTGGGATGATGATCAGATTTTGGCTTCTAGCTCTGCCTCCCAGCACATTTCTATATATGCTTCCTAAATAGCAAGACCTACTACATTCAGTTGGGTTTACTTACACATAAGTGTATACTGCATTGCTGCCATTTCCCACAAATCTGGATATTCTGATATGAGTATGATTCTTCATTTGACCTGTAATCATGGGATCAGATGACAATAGAATACAAGGGCAGCTAGAGGACAGCCTGCATTGCAAAAATAAGAAATTCTGGAGATGTGTTGACTATTCATGGAAATATTACATCCTGCAGTGCATGAGGTCTATAGGGACTTGGTGTGTACAATAGGGGATAGCTCTTTAAAATGATACATTGCAGCACTAAAAGACAGCAGAGTCTTTTTGTCTTTGACCTGAATTTTAGATTAAAGGCTTCCTGTATACCTAGACAGACACTATATATTTTAACTGTGTTGTTGGAAAGGTGGTTAATGAATAAAATTGTTGTTGTTGTTGTTTGCACAATCAGAAGCACATAAGGAATTCTGAAAGAGAAAGATCTTTTTTCCTCCTGGAACATACAGTGAAGGCCAAAGCCCATGTTGCATTTAATGTTAGCTAATGATCTCTTCTTCTATGCATAGTATTAATAAAGGGGAATGCTTTGCAGCAGAGATAAAAGGGACGCTGCTTAACTTTTCTCAGACAGCCCAAATCTCTCTGAAACTTCCTCCACCAAGCTGCTTTTATTCATGCCAGCATGGCTCCAGACTCATGTTTAGCATGTAATAAGGTGGCAGAAAATTACAGAAAGCAGTAATAGTGAAAGTCTCTGAGTAACTCCATTATTTTGGTATCTTTTTGCAGGATGAATCTATACTGGCTAGTAAATCTGTGGCCAGTTCAGATCAGAAATGTTTCAAACTGGCACCAGTGGTGTCCACATGTACCCTGCTAAACCTGATGCATCACCACAGAGTCCACCTGGGCCAAGACTGCATCAACCTTGCTGGATCATCACCTCGACTTTTGTGTCACAGTGGCTGCTCCCAGCCTCCTGTCCATCATCAGCAGAGGTGTCTTCATGTTCAAGGAGGAGGAAGCAACTGATCTCCCGGTCCTTTTTCTATGTTGTTTAACATCTACATGAAGCCGCTGGGGGAGATCATTCGGAGTTTCGGACTGAAATGTTATCTCTACGCGGATGATGTTCAGATCTGTCACTCCTTTCCACCTGTCACCAAGGAGGCTGTCCAGACCTTGAATCGGTGTTTAGCTGCTGTGTCGGACTGGATGAGAGCTAACAAATTGAAATTGAATCCAGACAAGACAGAGGTCCTACTGGTCAGTCGTAAGGCCGAACAGGGTATAGGGTTACAGCCTGTACTGGATGGGGTTACACTCCCCCTGAAGACGCAGGTTCGCAGCTTGGGAGTGATCCTGGATCATCGCTGAGCCTGGAACCCCAGGTCTCAGCGGTGGCCGGGAGAGCTTTTGCGCAATTAAAACTTGTGCACCAGTTGCCCGTACCTTGGGAAGTCTGATCTGGCCACGGTGGTCCACGCTCTTGTTACATCCCGAATAGACTACTGCAACGCACTCTACGTGGGGTTGCCCTTGAAGACTGTTCGGAAACTTCAACTGGTCCAGCGGGCAGCAGCCAGATTAATCACAGGGAACACACCACCCCCCTGTTATGTCAGCTCCACTGGCTGCCGATTCAGTTCCGAGCACAATTCAAGGTGCTGGTTTTGACCTACAAAACCCTTTACGGTTCCGGTCCAGCGTATCTGTCTGAACGTATCTCCCTCTACGTCCCACCCCGAAATCTGAGATCATCTGGGGAGGCCCTTCTCTCGACCCCACCGCTATCACAAGTGAGGCTGGTGGGGACGAGGAGCAGGGCCTTCTCAGTGGTGGCCCCTCATCTGTGGAACTCACTCCCGGGGGAAATCAGGGCTTCAACTTCCCTCCTTGCCTTCAGGAGGAAGGTAAAGACGTGGCTCTGGGACCAGGCCTTTGGGCACCCTGACAATTAGACATGGAACCAGAATGATAGGACCAACAATGTGTGGAAAGTAGAACCTAACTATGAGTCGGTTAAACGCTGACCAGCAATGAGGTTTGTATTGCTTTTATTGTTTTAATCGTTTTTACGGGTTTATGGCTATTCCTGCTGATAATATTGATTGTTTACGTTAATTGTTATCAGTGTTATAATTATTGTTGTTATTGATGTTATGTTTTTGATGTTATGTTTTTGTAATACAGGCATCGAATTGTGCCTTGTTTGTGTAAGCCGCCCTGAGTCCCCCCGGGTGAGAAGGGCGGGGTATAAGCAACCGTAATAAATAAATAAATTTTCTAGTTGTGCAGGCATCTCTGTTGAGGACAGAGCTCACATGGACCTCTGTTGCCTTTTGGGACCATTGATGGTGGCAACATGAGCACGGTCCATCCCCTTTTCCCTGCACTAATGACTGGAAGGAAAATACGTTGGTGACAGTAGCGGTGGACTGGTCTGAGTCAGAACCATTCCAGTTGTCCACGCTGCCCCAAAGTCTTGGTATACACCTGAATGTCCTGAAAACTTCCCATTTGCTTGAAACAAGATGAAAATATAGGAATGGCATGAGTCTGTATTTTCACCTCAGTGTCTGATGCCTTTTCTCACTGCTTTTCATGTTGTCATTTCCATCTTCTTTTGTTTTCCTCCCATTACCTCTTTAGAAGTTATTTTCTCCAGCATAATAGATTTTCTGTTCTGGAAACAGCTAAATTGGGGTTTGTTCAAAAACTAAGTAATGAAAGGAAAGACCAAATGACACCCAAATAGCCAAATAGCACCTTTTCTCTTCAAAGGAAGAGGGCAAATACAAACATGTATTTTGAACATCAGAGCAGGAACAATTTATAGGCAATCTGGAGTGAAGATTCCTCAAGCAAGGAAAGGGTTAAGAATTCCTCCTTGTCACCTTTCCCCTTCTCATAATTTATTCCTGAAACAACTGTTCAATTGAAATTAAGTCCGCCTGACTATTACGGAGTTTCTATGCAATATACTTACAGCTTGTCTTTTAACCTCGTATGAGAGTTGAAGGACAAATAGATAAACTTACCACTGCCTTGTGAAAAAGCAACTTTATGCATAACCAAAACTCATTGTTTAGGCATTTGCACAAAGGCAGGTGTAATTCTCTGTTGTTGTGGTGGTGTGCCTTCAAGTGAATATGCAGAACAATGGCTTCAAACTACAAGAAAGGAGTTTCCATGTGAACATAAGGACGAACTTCCTGACAGTGAGAGCCATTCAGCAGTGGAACTCTCTGCTCTGGAGTGTGGTGGAGGCTCCTTCTTTGGAAGCTTTTAAACAAAGGCTGGATGGTCATCTGTCGAAGGTGCTTTGAATGCAATTTTCCTGCTTCTTGGCAGGGCGTTGGACTGGATGGCCCATGAGGTCTCTTCCAACTCTATGTTTCTATGATTATATGATTTCTGGCTTATGGGGATCCTAAGGTGAAACTATCAGAGGCTTTCTGGGATTGAGAGGTTTTCATCTCAATCCCAGATAGGTTTTCATTACCAGGCAGGGATCTGATCCCTGGTCTTCAGAGTCTAGCACTCAAATTACGATGCTGCTGCTTCTGCTCTACTTTTCAATTTCCTCCATGACAGCATTACAATGGGCCTCAGTGCAGAAATTTTGCTTTATTGTTATTAAATATGTGAAGGATCAGGAGGCCAGCATAGTGCTGAATGCTGTTCCAGAACTGGACTTAATATGTACAAGGCAGATGAAGCTAGTTACTGATATACACTACTTTTCGGTGCTTTTATTGCTGTGTTCAGTCTCTATTAAAGTTCAGTCCATTAGAGATATTTGGGACAATATCTTCCCAAGCAATGTTTAAGTAATCTCTATGTTGTTTCCAAAATTATGTGCAAAATCACAGAAGCCTTGAGGATTTTCCAAATGGGTTATTTTCATGTAAAACTTCAAAACAATTCCCGTTCCCCAACAAGGTCCCATCCACACCACAAATCCCCATTGTAGCTCCTGAGTATTAGCCATTCCTGGTTCCCACTTATTCCTTCTTCTCTGCAGTTTGTTGCTGATGAAAGATGTTGTGAGGAGTTTGGATGCTCTGTTCTTTTTTGTCTCCATCTTCCAGAAGTATCTATCTATGCTTCTTGGAAAAGCTTCCCAATGTCTTGGGAGGAAGGGAGGCAAAACCAACACTGTCCATTTTCTCTCTGCCCTCCAACAAACTCTTTTGAAGAATCCATCCAATGCCTCCTTAGAAGGAGCTACATGAAAGCCTTGCTTTGAACTGTCTCATCACATTTTTACCTAAATGAGTTCTACAGGATGTCTTTTAAATTAAATTCAAAAAGTTTCAGAATTTGGCAAGGGTGTTGCCTGGAGGGTCTGGGAAAATACACTTTCAATTATGGATGGTATTTTAATGAGTATTCACTTCCATAATGAGATATGTATGCTGCGGGCAGAGGAAAATTCCACTCTCATACAGTTCCTACACGGCACAAGAACATAGACATGTAGGAATATCAGTGTGCCTTTGCCCCACAAATATTTTCTCACACATTTGCTGTGATGATGTAGCAGTGGAATAACTAACAATTATGTCAAAGACAAATACTCACCAGCAATTTGAGGTCTTGGCGTGTGAAATCACAACTTGAGCTGTAAGTAAATGGAAAGGGATTAGAATAACATCTGTTTCAGCTTCAAGATAGCTGGCAAAACAGATACACGCAATTAAGAATTTTCTGATGAGTACAAAGTTCAACAAACAACCTGAGTTTATAATGTTCTTCCTGTAGGTGTAAACATTCATTCGCTACAGCATGTTGTACATTCTAAAATTATAAACATATTATCTAGAAATAGACTTTATTTCTGATGCACCTAGATCAGATCAATTGGTAAAGAAAATGTGAAACATATAGTCTATCTAACAGAGCAATATTTTCCGCAGGGAAATCATGTGATCCAAGCATGCGTTAAAAAAGAAATACCTCTTAGATCAATATCTTAATTAAGAGGTACCATTTCTATAACTACAATGGATGCTGTTTATCAATCCTATTTTAACTGACATCTCTAAGAAAAGTTAAAGCCAAAATATCTGACACATTATTCATATAAATAGCTATTTACAATAATTTCATTGCATCTATTTTGATTTTTTAAATTGTTTCCCTGTGGGATCCTATATCTGTGTAAAAACTGCTGTTTAGTTGCTTTATTCAGCTATTATATAGAAAGAACTGGGTGAGGGAGGGAATTCTAGAGAATGTTCTTGGCCAATGCTCTTCAATATGGTAGTCTATGGATGCTCCAAGCCTCCAGCTGTCAGTCCATAGTGAGTTTCTGAGAAAGATGCAGTTGTAGTCCATGGGCACAAATATGATACCAATTACTGGGAAATTAGAAAAGAAAATTGCAGGTCATCCACATTAAAGAAGCAGAAGTCTAAGGCCCCTTCTACACCACTGATTAAAACGCCACATTATCTGCTTTGAACTGGAATATATCGCAGTGTGGACTCAGGGCCCTTCCACACAGTCCAATATCCCAGAATATCATTGCAGAAAATCACACAATATCTGCTTTGAATTGGGTTATCTGAGCCCACACTGCCACATATTCCAGTTCAAAGAAGAAAATGTGGGATTTTATTCAGCTGTGTGGAAGGGGCCTTAACTAACTCAGTTCAAACCAGATATTATGGGGTGTTTTTGCCTTGATATTCTGTGTTATATGGCTGTGTGGAAGGGCCCTAAGCTGTGCATTGGCACATATATAGACTACATAAATTCTAAACCATGTTATTCTTAGTATTTTTTATTACTGGTGGCAACAAAGCACTTGAGATCTGTGTGTAGCGATAATACCATGAGATGAAGCTGCATTCAAGTTGCTCTTGGAATATTTTTATATCGAGAAATGTACGAACAGATTCTATAGTATAGGAACAGGAGTGCTTATGTTAAAAAAAAATAAAATATTGGTTTTTGGAGAACAAGGTTCTCACCTAGTGCTGTAAGACTCGCATGATTTCCTCTGAATAACACCTTGATGACTTGCCACTAAACTGTCACATATTGTAATCTCCCTTTCGTGTTTTTTGTTCAAGGATGACTGCAAACACCAGGTTGCTCTAAGCCCACCAATTCTTGAACAACAATACATGTTTTCAACTTAAAAGTTCTAAAAAGGTTTTTGTGGTTGTAGCTGCACCAATGAATAGTTTGTGCACAAAAATCTCACTACTATGCAGATCCACATTTTAAATGCCACCCAGGAGACCAGACCTGAGTCACATATTTTATTCACTACTGTCAAGTCAGCTTTGACTTATGTCTCGCTATAAATGAGAGACCTTCAAGTCACCCTGCCATCAACACCCCTGTTCAGGTCATGAAAACCTTGATTGAGTCTATCAATCCAGAATGTGGTTTTCCTCTTCTCCTATTCTCTTCTACGGGGCCTTCCACACAGCCATATAACCCATAATATCAAAGCAGATAATCCACAATATCTACTTTGAACTGGGTATCTGAGCCCACACTGCTATATAATCCAATACAAAGCAGACACTCTGGGACTTTATACAGCTGTGTGGAAGGGAGCAAAGAGAACTGCTGCACAAGTACAATAACTTTTTTTTTGTGTCAGGAGCAACTTGAGAAACTGCAAGTTGCTTCTGGTGTGAAAGAATTGGCCACCTGCAAGGATGTTGCCCAGAGGACGGCAGGATGTTTTTGGATGTTTTACCATCCTTGTGGGAGGCTTCTTCCATGTCCCCACATGGGGAGCCGGAGCTGACAGAGGGAGTTCTTTCTGGATTTGAACCTGCGCTCATCTACGCTCTCTCTGGATTTGAACCTGCGACCTGTCAGTCTTCAGTCCTTCCGGCACAAGGGTTTAACCCATTGCGCCACTGGGGGCTCCTTCAACTCAGTAACAGAACTCCAGTTATTTGATGCCCAACTATTTATCTTTGAGAAGAACACAGAGGACCTACACTTGCAATTTCTTCTCAGTGTAAGTCCAATAATGGTGTCTTTTCTTAGAAGAAAGCACCAAGCCATTTTTCCAGTGTATGCAAATTGCATTTTGCAGAATTGTGCAAAGCTTTTGAAAAATGGGTGCACGTCCCCTCCAACTGAAACAGAGACTGAAACTATTTGGAAGGAAATGTACAAATTGTGCTGTACTAGATTAAGATTTGCAGTGTTTTAAATGGCCTGAAGGGGAAAAAAAGCTGCTGACTCAAGTTTGTTTCCAGGTCAATCAAAGGCAACCTGATTCCATAACTGCAAGAAGCAATCTGGGTCAGAAAGGGGGTAGTGGGGAGGGGGGGGGGTGAACAAAAACAATGTGAAGGCAGTGTATGTATACTGTTGAAATGGCTTAGCGTAGCTGAACTCAGGCTAATACAATATCCTTGAAAACAGGACATTCGTAGCTTAAATTAACTAACTGAGTGGGGTGTCCCAAATGATTTTGCACCTGAATAGAAGAAAATGAGACAAGTATGTCTCTCCATCACCACCATGAATTGCTCAATGGGAAAGGGCCTTTATTATGTACCTCATTTGTTGTTTTCTTTTTAATGGCTGTGTTTTAATTTTATTATTTTAATTGCATTTTAAAATCTTTCATTGTATTAAATTTTGTAAGCCACCTTACAAAAGGCAGGATATAAATATAATGATAGTACCGATTAGTGTTACCTTTCTGTGGTAATGGGATTGGGTACTCCTGTGAGACAAGATGCTATGCGTGAAATATGATACAGGACCAATTGAACCTACTCCCAGTACTGGTTCAGCCATTGCCCGAGAAATTACTATGTCAGATGTTGACAAAAAGACACAGGTTTCAGTAGCTTTTGCTACTTAATCAGAGCAAGAGACTATGGGGCTGTTATAACCACAGTGTAAGAAATGGACAGAAGCAGGTAAACAGATTAGTAATGGAATGCTAGTGCAATGCAAACTCATCAGCCTGAGGTCACCAAAGAGAATGTACACTATCTGGAGAGAAGTATTTCCCCAGAGATATATGTAACAGACCAGCAATTATGCAATCCAAGATGATGCATTATCCAGAATAAACTATTTTTAAATATAGAACTTGAAGAACCTGCAAGCAAAGATCAATAAAGGAGAAGAACAAAGGGGCAGGAATAAAGAGAAATCAATGGAAACTGCTAACTTAGAGAAGAATGCATCTGAACCACTAACTGAAAAGGGGCTAGTACTATTTTTTAAAAAAGAATAAAGAGATATGGAAAAGAAATAAATGCTATTTTTTACTCAGAATGACAAAAGGCTACCAAACCTAAATCTGAAACAGGTTATTAAAGATGTCAACCTGGCAGGTCTTGTAATTCCAATGGTTACTCAAGATACAAACCGATTGCTGCCTAATGGCATAGTGTGAATAGTAAGAAGAGAATTAGGATGTGAGACTGATGAACCAAACAACAACAGAAGGTGGAAAACCAAAATAGAAAATCAATATACATTAAAACTTGGTAAATCAGGAAAGATGTCAGTACTTTAAAAACTTTGAGCATGAAAGTTTTTAAAATTTTGCAGCTGAGCCAGGCTGCTCTTTGATATCAGGCTTCATCAGGCTTCTACTCCCATTGAGCTGCTGTTTTCCCCAAAGGATTGGAACTATGTTGTCAGCCCAGAAAGACCCAAGCAGTTGGTTTGAAATGGCTGTTCTTCTCATCCCAGACCAGTGGTCCGCGAGAAGGCGGGGGCTGGGGGGCTTCAGCCCCCCCCCCCCAAATTCTGATGGTGGTCCACGAGAAGGCCTTACTGGTACATTATTTAAACTGTTATATTTATTCATATCATGATCTGATCACCATGCTCAATATATCCCATATGCATGGGGGTATTGGGGTAACGATACAAAAGGTTTGCTAGGGTAGACCCTCTTTCACTCAGACTCAGCCCCCCCCCTCACCACGAAACTCAGCCCCCCCCCCCCCCGCCCTCTGAAACAAAATCCTGGCTATGGGCCTGTCCCTGACCATCACATTCTTTAGTGGGAAGGATAAACAGAGGGGACTTTCCTGTACCAGCTATGACCTTTCTCAGACAGAGATAACTTAGGTACTGTAGCCCATGCCCTGATAACCTCTTGATTAGATTACTATAATGTGCTCTAGTTGGACCTGCTCTTGATGACAACTGGAAAACCGAAAAATGGAACAGCTCAACTGCTGACTAGAAAAAAAAAATCCAAGAAGTCAAAGTGAATTCCAAGAATGAACCTCAAATAAGTAAATGTTAGTTACTGGAGAACTTTGGTTCAATAAATTAAGGCAACAAACAATACATTTATATATGTGTGTATCCAAAAATAAGTCCCAGGAAGTTAAATGGTTGAGCAGGGGTTCAAACCCTGGTCTAATGCTACACTCAAAGCACTGCATCATTCTTGCTCTTTGTTTGAAAATTAACTCCATCAAAATCAGCAAGATTTATTTCAGGCAAAATATGTTTCTGGGAAGCATAAGTGAAATAAACCAAGGAATAAACTGAAATATCTCTCCCCAGTATATACCTTTCTGAAACTGAACATTGGACAAAGCTAACTCTTTGTACCTATCCCCAGGACCACCCATTGTTTTGTGACATTGCTCCCACTATTTT